GTTGTCGCTGACTGCGATCGCCCAGTAGCGTGGGATCTCTGCCTCCTCGTACCAGGCAGATAGGTGATACTGGCCAGCAAAGATGAGGAAGGGTGGGATTGTCCAGCCAGCAGCGTTGATCGCAGCGATCACGGTCACCCACTCGCGATTGCCTGGTTGAACAGCCTTTGGCCGGCCTCTCCTCTCTGACCCAGTCACGACGAGCTGAGTCGTGATCTTGCCCATCATAAAGCCAGCCTCGTCAAAGTTGTAGACGTCCTCATCGCAGATGCCGTACTTGGCCTTTGTCTCCTCCACAAGCTCAAACCAGCCTTGGATAAGAACAGGATCTTCACACAGAGCTCTCTGCCTATCGTAGGCTCGATTAAAACACGTCGTAAGACTGTCTGTACGCTTGACAAAGTTGCGTGGCCAGTGGACGCCAACGCGACCTGCGCTGCGCTGCGCGAGCAGCGTATCAGCTATATCACGTACAGCTGCGTACGTAGGCGCAAATCCACGCTGATCTAGATGAAGTATATTATGCACAACCACTTCCTCTTCTAGCGTAGTAAGCTTCTTTGAGTTGGGCTGGCAATCGCGTCGAGCGGGCTTGCCAGCGCGTCGGTTGCGTAGTGTTGATTCGACGACATTATACGTAGCTGCAGCACGGCTAACAGCTCGTATTTGTGATGTGCTGATTGCTGCAATAGCAAACTGGATATCTGCTTCATTTGAAGGCATTGAAGGAATAGGTAGTTGAGAAATAGATGTCTACGTGTAGAGAGGTGCAGAAGGTTGGTGGGGCTCGCAACTCGCTTGGATTCGCAACTCGCTTATAATCCATGTTATACGTTTAGCTTATCGTTCGCATAGCACCTTAAAGCTTCTAGAATGCCGAGGAGGCTCCGAAGGTTCCACCGAGGATCACTATAGCATCCGGGCTCTAGCCCGTTACATCCTCCTGCAATATCCTGCCAAGATACCCTGACATTTAGAGGATGAACAGTAATGGTCTTGCGGATTTCCTAGGGGTCCAAGCGTTCTGAAGAACAGGGGCATTACTGATTTCAAAATCTTAAAGAAATCAGTTAAGGTTACAAAGAGCAGCAACTTGACGCAAAAAGCTGCCAGACCCTACACTGTGGCCCCGTGCAATACACTGCCCACCCTTGCTCACCCTCGGCTCACCCTTGCTTACCCTCGCTCACCCACGCTCACCCACGCTCACCCACGCTCACCCTTGGCTCACCCACGCTCACCCTCGCTCACCCGCTGCTCATCCACTGCTCATCCACGCTCACCCACTGCTCACTCACTGCTTGCGAAGACATATCCCAAGCTGTTCGCTCAGAAATTCAGCAGGACACCATCGCATCGGGACGATCCTGACCAGTGTGTCCAACAACCAAGTTACTTGACTTGCTTGCTTGACATTACTTGATTACGTAACAAGCAAGTAAAGTAAAGGCTCATTCAAGCAAGCACAAGTAAGGATTTTCACATTACTTGAAGTAATTTCAAGTTGCTTGACAGAATTGCTGTACTAGGCAAGTCGAAGATGAGTTAGGTGACGCTAGCTAAGCGAACCAATTATGATTTCACCGGGTGGCACCCGGCAAAATCGTGATTGGCTGGAGTCGCACAGGGAGTCAGATGTGCCGGGAAAAATCTGCCACCTCCAGTCTTTATTTACAAGGCTACCAAATTCTAAGCTTATATGTCTTCTCACCTGTTCTTTCAGCCTCGTGGAAGGTCTACACGTTCTTCTCTGCCTAAAAGCCCCTCCGAGCCTCCTAGCTCTACCTCAGAGAGCCGCTTAGGAACCCCAAGTTCGGTTTCAACTCCAACTCATGAGGCCTCTACACCAACCACCCGTGAAAGAGAGCTGCAGACATCTACTCAATGCACTTTCCATATTGAATGGGACAAAATTCGCTATGAAAGAAAGCCACTGCCATTAATTCGATATCGTCAGCCTCACAAGCGTACCCTCAACTCTAAAGCCCAATCCTCGGCAATCTACAAACATGGCGCGCAGCTTACAACCGATGGAGATAACAAGTTCTGGCTCTGCAAGTACTGCCATATTGGTGGCCAGCATGATTCCGCGCTATTCAACAGTGGGGCTACTACTAGTATCATTTATCACCTAAAGCATCTGCACAAACTCGAAGAATTCGGCTACAAACGAGTGGCGTCAAATCCGTTCGATATGGCCAAGGGAACAACGAGCTCCATACCATGCCTTGGAGGCCGGCGCTTGATGTTTAACGACTCTCAGTTCAAGAAAGAGTTTATTGACTGGGCTATTGATCTTGACCTTACCTTTCGACAAGCGACGCATCAACGCACCCGTAACATCTTTGCCAGCTGCCTAGAGGATATAGATAAGGTTCTGCCAAAAAGCCCGTCAACTCTTAGCACCTGGATTGAAGAGATGTGGGACGGTGATGGTGGGAGGCGTACTTGGCTGAAAGAAAAGCTCCATCTTACCAAAAGCAAGATCCATATCTCAACTGATACCTAGACGTCTGAAGAAGGAACGAACTATGTGGCAGTTGTTGCTCACTTCCGGGACGAGAAGCATAAGCTGCAAACAGCTCTTCTCGACTTCCGGCCTCTAAAGGGCCCTCACACTGGCGAGAACATTGCAAAGGTGCTGTCGACGGTTATCGAGTCGAACGATATACCTGCTACCGGTGGATTCTTCATGATGGACAACGCTAGCAATAATGACACATGTATTGAAGAGCTAGCAAAGCAGTATCCCACAGTCACGCAGCAGAGCCGCTTCGATGCGTCGGCCATATCCTGAATCTCATTGTCAAAGCCTCCTTTTGGGCAGGGTGTCAGCAAGCTGGAGAAAGAGCTCTGTGGCGCACCCGACGATACGATTTGAGATATGGAGGAAGCAGAGCTTTATCGGTAAGCTCCACAACTTCTGCGTGTGGATTAACCGGAGTGACCAGCGGGGGGAGCTTCTGAAACGGTATATCCTGCAGGCGTACAATCAAGGCAGCACCGAACAACTCTACACTAAGGTTATTGGTCGACGGCGGCGTCCGCTGGAACTCTGTGTATCCCATGATTGAAGAGCTCTCAAGCTCCGTAACGCAATTTGATCTCTTTCTCCACTATAGTCATAGTGGTGAGGGATACGATATCTCACGGGGATATAATTACTGCATGATTGGGTCAATTTGGAGCAGTTCTTCAATATCTTGAAACCATTTAAAGACCTGACCAAACGCATGGAAGGCCGGGCTAATAGGGCTGGCCTTGAAGGAGCACATGGCTCACTCTACGAGACACTGGAGTCTCTTGATATCCTCTTTAAGAAACTCCGGGAGGCTGGAAAGTTTGCAGACGATCACCCGGGAAGATTTCTGAATACTTTTCTGCGCCATTGATACTGCCCGACCAAGCTTGAAGAATACTACACCCCTTTACGGATGCTACGCCAGCGTACCGATGCGCCGTTGCCCTGCATCCTGCGAACAAATTTACCTTTTTGGGAGCTCGAAGGGAGTCATGAGAAGAAATGGATCGCTGAGGCAAAGCGGGTAGTGCAGGATTTTACGCACGCTACGAGGAAGCAGCTGTGGGTAGACATAGCTGAAGCAACACAAGAAGAGGATAATGAGGTTACTACTGATAGCGATACTGCGCTTGATTTTTTCCAGCAAGCTCGTAAGCGTCGTCAGCGGCTCGCCGCTACTTCAGCGTCTGTTACGCGGGGAAAGGGAAAGGTACAAAACTCACCTCTGAGCTTGATGAGTTTATGGCTAGGGCTATAAGGCCGATCAAGATGTCGAGGACCTCTGGAGTGGTGGGTTCACCATGCATCTGATTACCCGGCTCGCTAAGATGGCGTTTGATTTCTTCAGTTGTCCGGCAAAGCTCTGAGTGTGAGCGCGTATTCTCACAAACAAAAGAAGGTCATCACAGATGAACGAAATCGCCTCTTCAGACACTGTGTAGCGATCGAATGCCAAAGGCACCTTCTTCGAACCGGTATGCTTTCATAGGTCTATCATAGATTCAAAATCAGGAAACATGACCAAGCAATGTCAAGCAAGCAAGTAAAGTAAAGGATTCTCGTCAAGCAAGCAAGTAAAGTAAATGTTTTCATCAAGCAAGTAAAGTAGAGGGGTAGATTCTTACTTTACTTGCTTGTTGGACACACTGGGTGTCGCAGATGATCAAACCCAAGGCGTCAAGGGCAGAGGCCATCAGCAAGAACTCGGACCAGTTTAGTCTCTTGCCTTCGCAAAATAGGTGCGCGTAGATGCGCAGAGCAACGAAAGCGCAGGCAACGACCAAGAAGATCCATTTTGCGACCTGGAAAGGGTTTGGTCCATCAGCAATGCTATGTTCAACTTGTTTGCAGTAAGAAGCAACCTACCATGCAGTCTCTGCCATCAATGATGTATGCCATTGCAATGACGTGGAGTAGCCGAGCAGAAGATGGCACAGATGATGAAACCACTGGGAGGGCAGTGACCCTTACTTGTGAGATCAAGATCATGCACAAGGGAGATGAAAACGCTCGCTCCAGCAGTGTAACAAGTTTGCGCTAGTCTTGTGTGCGTTTGTTTCGGCCGAGATGTCCTATTACACGAGCCACAGCTGCAGGTTCACACGGGCAGAAGGAGTCAGCAAGATATCCGACTAGCAGTCGTGCCTAAGCATCATTAGGTCCCCACGTGTTTGCTCGTGTGGTTCCCCAAGTGGTTCCCCAAGTGGTTCCCCATGCGGTCAAGCCGAGGCACCTTGAGAGCAGCTGGCATCTTCACGGAACTCAGACCAGCGATGACATGGGATTATAAGAGTTTGACTTCACCTTCGAGACAGTGAGCTCATTTACAAGTCGGCCGAGGCACTCCTTTATATAACATCCTTACAGGGCTTATGAACATGGGATCTCTGCATATCTGCTAGCTTTAGGGGCCTGTTGGGAGTCGTAGCCGGTAAACGAGCCCCAACAGCTTGCATTACGAGGCGCTGACATCTTCCAGACTCATGTGTGCAAACAGATCCCACTCCAGACCTCGGCTATGAAGAACTCTGGCGCCTCCAGCACGAGTTCTACGAGCGATGGATAACGCCCAATAACGTCAAAGAAGCCGAGTCGATCAACTCAACTATATTCTCTGACAATGTAAGATTACGACTCTTGCGTTGAGTCACCGGTACTGACCATCAGCAGATCCAAGGACGCGTTTCCGACACGCGCACCTTCGTAGGCCGTGAGCTCAACACCGAGTACATCTTCGGGCTCTTCATGCCCTCAGACTCTCTGTCTATCATCGGAAATCCCACCGAGTACGAAGTTATCCAGTTTGCAGCGGTCCAGAACATCGCATCAGCAACCACGCGCGTCAACTTTACCTTTCCAGCGTTCAACAACATCTCCCTGCCAGTTGTGATCAACACATGGATGACGTGGAACTCTGCTCGCCAGATGACGCAGTATGATGTTGTGTTCTGGTTTGAAACCCTTCCAAATCTTATACTAAGCTTAGGCGGCTCTGCTGAGGAGGCTGGCGGCAAGACAGTAAACAAGATTGCGACATCGATCTGCAACTCGATGAAGATACTGAAAATGGCACGAACGCCCAGTACGATTTTGGAGGGATGCTATAATTTTCTGACGAAAGAGATACGCGTGGGTCAGAGCTTTGAGCTGGGCATGAACACACTCATGTCCCGCAGTGTACACGAGCTCATGGTCAAGTATCGGCCGGGAGTTCACTGCACCCACATTGGCCCTACAGGGAGGTGGAGAGTGGACGACACAATCACATATATCGAGAAAGCGGAGGAGCGACTTGATGCGAACTCGCCATGGATCGCTGGGGGATCGTAGAGAATTGCTAGCAGAGGCTTGCGGGTGGAATACGTCTGCGCGACCCTCTGTTCTCCCGCCATAGCTTTGTAATAGTCTCTCCTTGCGTGCGGAGGTTGGTCACACGGTGTGACTCACACCCTGCACAACTGCTATGGTATTGTCTTTTCCCAGGTGGGGCGTCTGGATCGCGCACGCTATATATAGTTAAATCTATACGATGTTCTTTTCTAGACGAGCGCTTTTCTTAGCCATCTTAAGAACTCCAAAGCAGCTTTCTCAGGAAGCTGATATTTGTCGCAGATAACATCTATATACATTACAAAGCTGTTGGTGTCTTATTTGAGGACTCAATTCTTGCAGAAGGTGACTCTACAAATACTGCACAGTACAGTACATCACTTGGGCTATGTTCGTCACGCTTGCCTGGTTTGCACGACTCGATCCCGTTTTTCTCATGGCCCAGTTCTTGTCCACATCTCATGCAAACTTTCACGTATCCTGGTCGATAACGACGGTACGTTGGGATGGGCGTCAAGCTACTCGACCACGACTAACTTGGTGCGGATGCCGAGTGGATTGGCAGCCGAAAACCACTTGGGACGCTGGGTCTACTCGTAAGTAAGACCAGATTCATTGCCCTGCACCACAAGTAGTATCTTTAGTGCATTCCGTCGGACGCAAGCTTCAGCGGTGACACCGCAGAAACACACAATACTACGGCATGGCGTACACGCGCCAGTTGGACTGGACGCCCTTGATGAATCGTAGTGCGTCTTTGCCTCAACTAGACCGGTGGGGCGACTGCCCGCTGTCAACGGCGGATAGCTAGAGCACATTGTCGTGGGGGATGCATCGGTGAACGTGCGCTTGACACGCTGGCGTGCCGTCCAGGAAAGCAACTGTGTTTTCACACCTCAGCAGCAGTACCGCGGCTGCATACAATGATTATCTGGCTGCATCTGGTTACCCGGGAAAAGCCTGGAAGTACACCTTGCATATCCGCGAGCGTTGGCCATCTGTTGCTGACCGTTGTTTCGGGTATCCGAGCTCAACGCCAGCGAGCTCGTGGCCGCGCTGTGACATAGCTGCTAAAAGAGCGCTGCTCGCCTCCTTGACTTGGGTCGACTAGTGTTCTTGTGACGATAGGGCGGGCCGGCGCTATCTGTGAGCAGGCGACACTGTGCGTGTAAGCTCATGAGTAAGGAAGTACGGTTCTAGCTGCTTCAATCTGTGGTCGCGCAAGTGCACGATCAGCGACGACTCTAATCATACATGTGACCCACGTTGCAGTGCCACATTAGCACCACTCCCTACGTGAGCTGCAGATACCAGTAGATCTAGTGAAGAGCACCCCGTTCCTCTCAATAAGGCTATGCTAGTTGCGTAATGACCGAGTTTCTTTCTTGTGCACCTGCGCAGGTACGCCGCTATCGAACGAGACCTGCAAACGAACCTGTAGTGTGGTGAGCTGAGACGATACACATTTTTGTTCTGATAGTGAAAGATACAGACCTTCTGCAAAGTCGCTCCATTCCAGATCTTTTGGACGTGGTCAGAGTGCTGGGCGGCGATAACGTGTTCATCAGCGTCTACGAGAGCGGCATTTGGGACGACGGCAAAGGCGCCCTCATGGAGCCCGATCTAGTGCTTACGAACTACGGAGCCGAGAGGGGCCTAGAGCCATCAACTACCACTCGCCTTGACGAGATGACTGTGCTGGATGATGCTCCCAGATGTGTTCGACGCAGAGTACAGGTGGCGGGACCGTTTCTGCTTGTTTTGCTTGATACGGTCGGTCGCATAGCCACCTCTGTTCCGCTCGTACCCTAGATCCCAGGTCTTGTCCACGCAATTTGGCCACTCTCTAGTCCTTACATCTACCTGTCATCTTCGCAACACAGCGGTTCTTACGTGTTTTGCTCAGCTGCCCGCTGAAACACTTCCATCACTCGCTAGTGGGTTGGCAAGGCGCCCTCGAGCCGACCTGGGAGGCAACTCGCTGGCTTATACGGCCCTAGCCGACAGCTGGAGACGCTTTTAGATCTCCATCGGTCACTGCGCTGCGGCTTTCCTGTATCGTCCACCTCTACCTCCAGCTGCTGTACCCACAACATACCACCTCGCTCACTATGGCGAATCACAGCACCCCCTCGAACGTCGTCGGCATCCACTACAACATCGGCAAGCAGATTGGCGAGGGCTCCTTTGGCATCATTTTCGAGGGCATCAACCTGCTCAACCAACAGCAGGTTGCCATAAAATTCGAGCCTCGCAAGAGCAAAGCTCCTCAATTGTACAATGAATATTGCACGTACAAGGCTCTCGTAGGCTGTTGTAAGTTCTCTCTCTACTCCTATCATTCTCCCTGATATCGCCCGTTCGAGCATGTGAAGGCACTGTCTGTGTATGGAAACTGCCTTACATCATAAGGTAGATGGAACGTGTTCTGTACGGAATACTTTAAATGCCTTTGCTGGCGACTCTAGAGGATTGCTGCCATCCTACCGGATATGGCTTTTGCTAATCAACCTGATCTTCAAGCACATCAGAGACTCAACTAACATTACGCAGCGGGGGTTCCCAATGTCTATTACTTTGGCCGGGAGGGCATGCACAACATTCTGGTAATCGACCCGCTCGGGCCTAGCTTGGAGGACTTGTTCGGCCACTGCAACAGGAAGTTCACAGTCAAAACTGTAGTCATGGTTGGCAAGCAAATGGTGTGTAGATATAATGATCTCACCATCTCCCTAGTCTGATGTATCTGCAGTTGTCAAGGATACAGGCTATCCACGAGAAGAACCTCGTCCACCGCGACATCAAGCCTGAGAACTTCCTCGTTGGCCGGCTGAGTTCTGAGACCGCCAATTCAATTCATATGGTGGATTTCGGTATGGCTAAGCAGTACCGTGACCCCGTGACGAAGCAACACATTTCGTACAGGGAACGTAAGTCTCTCACTGGTACGGCGCGTTACATGAGTACCAATGCACATCTCAGACGCGAACAGTCTCGTAGAGACGACCTGGAAGCTCTGGGTCACGTCTTCATATACTTCCTACGAGGTAGTCTTCCATGGCAAGGCCTCAGGGCTTCTACCAACGAGCAGAAGTACGCGAAGATCGGCGAGATGAAGCAGACAATTCCCATCGAATACATCTGCAACGGCCTTCCTCGTGTGTCCCTTGTCTTAACTTCCGTCCAACACTGCTAACAAAACAGGCGAGTTCAATAGATACCTCATCTACGTCCGTAACCTGGGTTTCGAGGATACACCTGACTACGACTACCTGCGGGGACTGCTCACGGAAGCGCTCAAAAGCGTCGGCGAAGTTGAAGACGGCGGATACGACTGGACGAATTCAAACAATGGAAGAGGCCAGAAAGTCAACGACCGCCAGGGCACCCCTAACGCAATCATCGTTCACCACCGATCTAAGGAGAGACATTGTCCGCCAAGGGTACCACTTGACCGAGCTTACCCCAGATCCTATAGCAACAAGATCTGTACCTGGAAGAAACTGGGACTAAGCAGCGTCGTGCCAGGCTCAGTTTCAACACAGCCGATCGTACCTGAACCAGATCCAATTGCGCGACTCCGTTACAGATAGAACTCCCCACATTGGGACAGGAACAGAGCATCAGACAGAGGCTTCATGCAGACGCTCTCCCAAAATACTTTGTTGCAACCCGAGCCGCAGATAACAGGTTCGTTTCTCCATCTGATCTATTACATATTTCCTTGTATCATGAAATCGTTCATCAATGGATTTTAATGCTAACGTCTTTTTGTTTAGATAGTCTTCTATGGTTGATAGACGGAATCGAGATGTTCTTCTTTCTTTTACTTAAAACCTAGGTCTGAGTTCTCATGTGTCCTATGTTAGGGTGCTGTTTGTATGGTTGCAGCAATGTGATGTCTTACATCCAGTATATAGCTTAGATGTTCATCACTTTCTTTCGATCTCTTTATAATACCAGCCTGCATCTCACTACTCACAAGCAGTCAATGCAGTTGAGGCTTCTAGATTCAAGCCCAATGCCTATGAAAAGTAGATAACATACCCTCCTCTTTAAGGACTGGGAAACACCTGAATAGTTCATATCTACAATATGTAGAAAAAAAATGCCTCCGCAGGGGCGTTCCACCGCGTGTTGACCTTGTAGTGACAGAAAATACAGCGCACATATCCCCTTCGATGGCTTCACACTTCGGTGTGCGCGGTACGATAAGTACGATTGCTATCTCACAGACTGGGTCATTGTTGCGAAAGATGAGTATGGCTAGAGCTGTACCGCTACAGTATCGTTGCACAGTACAGAGGTGCTGCAAAAGATGATTTTCAGGTCAGTCCTGAAGTTACGTGCAGTGAATTGGCACGATAGTCGAGCAACGTAAAGTATTAGGGATGGGCGTTGGCGTTTGAAGCCATACTATCTCGAGTCAGCATCTGCCGAAACTAATGGATTTGCTGTAAGCACTAATGACGCTACCACTATGGATGTGTAGTCGAGTGATTGCATGTAACACCAGGGTTATGCCATGTGACGACAGTTTACATTGAAGCTTAGTCAGATTTTGTACCGCTTCAGGCTCCAGCACTGAGATTATGCAAGCACTTAGGAAGAATAGCCTCCTTTGTTCCGATCGTGTAAGCTGACCAACTCAGGGTCGGAACACGAAGAAAGGTTGGCCTGCTCAGAGTTAGAGTTGTTAGTATATCAGTACCGAAGCATACCGCCGTTATTCCAGTCAAAGATGCTGGCTTTCATGCTCACTTTCGTCAAACGCTCCCCACGCTCCAAAGCTCCAGCTAACACCGCCACAAGAAATGTGGGAGAACCACACGACTTCATACCAGGCTGTCGTCCCATCGCCCCAACGATCTGGGAGCACATCCATCCTTCTACCTCGAATCTATCAGAAGACAAATCAGCACCGTGCTTCATCATACTCATGACATGGACTGGCGCTTATGGTCAGCATATTTCCAAATATGTTTCGGTATATGCTACCATGTTTCCAACTTCCCGCATCCTCGTTATTACCACGTCAGCAAAAGACATCGTCTGGAGAAGTTCTGCCCGCAAGCAAGAGCGCCTTCGACCAGCAGTCGAATACATTTTAAGCCTCTATGGAATTCCCAAGGTACGCAATGGCGGTATATTGCTGCACGTCTTCTCGGAAGGAGGTGCCAACAAAGCCTGCGAACTTGGAATAGCATACCATGCCGTTACCGGAAGGCAATGTCCTATTTCAGCGATGTGCCTAGACAGCACACCTGGCCACCCACGCTTCCTGCGGCTCTGCTCCGCCCTGGCGAAATCATTCCCCCCAATGCCTGTCCTGAAGCAGTTCGCCGCAGTAATCGCGATCGTTGTGTTGGGACTAGCATGGGCTGCGTATCACATCTTCAAGGGGTACGAGAATAACCCTGTTTCGCGTTCGAGGAAACAGCTTCTCGACCCAAGATTATTTGCTCTTACGGTTCCAAGATGCTATCTCTACTCAAAAAGCGACGCCCTAGTTGCATGGCAAGACATATACGAGCATGCGAGCGATTTGATAAAGCGTGATGGATGTGTGACAGAGACTATCTTTGAAGACTCTGAACACGTCTCTCATGCAAAAACCGAGTCGAGGCGTTATTGGGATACTGTGAGAACGGTTTGGATGCACAGCCAGGAGAGACATGAAGAGACCAACACAGAACCTACAAGTGGAAACTCACAGTTGTCCGAGTCCGTCTTCAAAGATGGAGTTATTACAGCTCTGGTCCCTGTAGTAGAGAAATTGCCTGCAAAGACAGTTACGAAGTGGGAGAGTGAGAGATATAGCTCGTTCGCCTAGGACAGATCTCCCGCTGGCTCATATGTGCGCTCGATCAAGCCCAGATCTTGACATTTTTCATTGCATATTGTACATGGCATGTTGATGTGTAGTATCTACACACAATTGTCAGATTAATGGCGGGTGTGCTTACCTGTAGTACTTGTAGGTAGTAGCAACTCCATGATGGATGGGCAATTCGTTATCCAATGCACTAAGTCTTCAATCACAAAGGAATAATGTCAATCCAACCGTGCCGGGACGCCCGGTGTAACGGGACGCTTTCTCTTCCGGACCCTCGGATTGTCCCTAGTGTTCTCAAAGACAAACAAGTGCAGTGCGCATCTATTCTGCAGCTCTTGTTCTCCTAGCACATCAGTCTCCGACAACAAGAAGCACGTTGTTGGCTATGGTGTCGCCCGTTCTGTTCATGCTGTTGGCTGACCCCTCTATAACACTCCCTGTTCGTTCGCGACAGTGCATATCTGTAGAGAGCTCGGTGGGCTAGAAAAGAAGCTATGATGGTAAAGATTAAGGCTGCAGCCTCAAAAGGTTGATTTAGGGTAAGGAGTGAGGATCCCGGCAGTTTCTCCGCGCAGATGGCAAATTCGTCAAACCGCGTCTAACCGGCCGTGCGTCTTTAGCAGCTCTTAGCATGCTGCAGCTCGTAGTAGCGTGCTGAGATGTCTGTGTGTCCACCTTGCGCTGTGGCTGGGAATTGCAGCTTTGAGCACTCCGCCTAGGGCAGCTCTTATTCCCGACTTTGCAGACAGCTGTTCTTGCGGACATGCACACGCGCGCTGCAAATAACGTTAGCTTCTCTCCAGGCTCGCTTCTTACATAGGTTCAATATTGTTTTGCATAGATCCGCCGAGGTGAGCGGATCGAAGCTGTCATAATTAATAGAAACCACCACTGCATTCATTATAGCATACCGTTGAGAGTTATGATTATGTGGCCTGCGGCATCTAACTTTACGATCTACAGATAACGGTAATATTAGGAAGCTGTCTCACTACGAATCAATTCACACTCCGCTCGCCAATCACTTAGCTTATTGAGCGAAGACTGTGTATCAGGGTGTTGCTCGCCAAGAACCTGCTTACGTAGCTGAAAGCATCTTTCCATTAGTGCAAGAGCCTCCCCGTGGCGAGCTTGTGACTGCAGCGTGAACGCGAGATTGTGCATACTAAGCAGCGCGTCAGGATGCTCGTCGGTAAGCACTCTCTTCCTCGTCTGCAGCACTTGCACCTCCAGTTCTTCGGCCTCCTTCCATCGCCCTTGGTTCCAGTACGTCAACGCTAGGTGGGCCATACTGGTCAGCGTGCCAGGATGCTCGTCGGTAAGCACTCTTTTGCTCGTCTGCATCACTTGTACCTGCAGCTCTTCGGCCTCCTTCCACCGCCCTTGGTTCCTGTACGTCACCGCTAGGTTATTCACGCTGGTCAGCGTGTCAGGATGCTCGTCGGTAAGCACTCTCTTGCTCGTCTGCATCACTTGCACCTGCAGCTCTTCAGCCTCCTTCCACCGCCCTTGATTCCAGTACGTCGCTGCTAGGTGGGCCATGCTGGTCAGCGTGTCAGGATGCTCGTCGCTAAGCACTCTCTTCCTCGTCTGCACCACTTGCACAAACAGCTCTTCAGCCTCCTCATACCGTCCATCACTAGACAGAGTCATAGCACATCTTAATGCAAGCCGCAATCTTCCCTTGTCGTCATCGTCCACTGGACTATACGACAGAGCATACTGGGCATGCGGAAGCAGTCGTCTCCACTTACTTCTGTTGCTGTAATCGTCGTTAGGAAACACCCGGAGCAGCTGTGTGATAGTGCGTTGAGTCCATTCTTGGAGCTGTCCCTGCATTTGCAGTCGCTTGCGTAGGGCTTGATGGACTAGTCGATGAAGATCTAGCGCAGACTCAGCAGGTCGCCTGGTGACGAGCGCATATTTGTTAAGCACCCTGATAGCATCTTCTCTTATTTGCATCGAGGCTGTCTCTAGAAGGTCGAGCGAGATGTCTTTTTGGTCTACGCATGCAGCAAGAAACAGACAGTCTGCGGCAAGCGCATGATCACGGCTAATCTGGTCTATGGAGAGAAACAGTGCAGCAGCTACAGGGTCTTCCACGCCAGACTCTTGTATTCTGCCTTCAGACGAGTCACCGCTGTGCTCGATAGCCAGTTCTCTGTACTCGTCCAGTTGTAATCGGTACTCTTGCACTGTCATACTACTAGCCTTCATACAGGCCGCTGCTTGCATGACTGCTAGAGGAAGATACGATAGCTCTCTTAGCAGGTGCTCGGCTTCCTGCTGCTCAGGGTTTGCGAGTGGCTTCGTCAAGCTGACTTGCAGCATCCTCAGCGCCGCGTCTAGTGTTAGCTCTCGCAGCTCTACGACGTTCTGTGAAGCGAGCGTCTGAGCTGTGTCGCTGTTGGTTGTTGTGAAGATGACAGAACATAGCTTAGACTGCGGCAGATAGTCAGCTAAGTCCGCCGCTTCTGTCGTGGGTGAGCCGCCAGATCGTAGAGTGGTGTTTTCTGCGTTGTCGAAGACTAGTAAACACTGTCGCGCACTCATCTCTACTATACAGCGCTTTGCAAGCTGCTTCATGTCGACTTGGTCATTGTTCCACCCAGGTATACTGAGCTTCTGCGCAACACTTGCATACGACTGGTAGAGACTGTCCTTGTCGCTCGCATCGATCCAAAAGACCGAGCAATTCTTATTGTTCTGCCTCGTTCTATGTGCAACCTCGAGCGCAAGCTGCGACTTGCCTGTTCC